TTGCCCAGGTTGCAGTGTAGTGGTGCAATCTCGGTTCACTGCAACCACCACATCCCGGGTTCAAGCGATTCTCCTGCCTCAGCCTCCCAAGTAGCTGGGATTACAGGCATGCACCACTATGCCCAGCTAATTTTGTATTTTTAGTAGAGACGGGATTTCTCCATGTTGGTCAGGCTGGCCTCAAACTCCCGACTTCAGGTGATCCGCCCACCTCGGCCTCCCAAAGTGCTGGGATTACAGGCATGAGCCACCATGCCCTTTTTTTTTTTTTTTGGGGGGGGGGGAGACAGGGTCTTGCTATGTCACCCAGGCTGTAGTATCTTGGTGTGATCACAGCTCACTGCAGCCTTGACCTCCTGGGCTCAAGTGATCCTCTCTCCTCAGCCTCCAAAGTACCTAGAACTACAGGCACGTGCCACCACGGCCAGCTAATTTTTATTTTATTTCATTTTGTAGAGATGGGGGGGTGGGTATCACTATGATGACTAGGCTGGTCTCAAACTCCTGAGCTCAAGTAATCCTCCCACTTCGGCTTCCCAAAGGGTTGAGATTGCAGGCGTGGAGCTACCACACCTGGTCTCATCAATCTTTTATTCCTTAGCCTCTCTGCACCTGGAACGCAGTTAGGGACTATGTTTTAATTTTTTTCTCTCCTCTGTACATGCCATAGTACCTGGAACTTAGAAAATGCTCCACAAACACTTTTTGAGTAAAGAGCTAGACCTCTAGACAAGTGAATGAATGAATGCTAACTACTTCTTGAAATTTCTTTCCTAGGTTTGGTAACACTACACTACATTGGCTCCTCTCAAACCATACCTCTAACTCCTCTAGTCTCTTCTTCCTTCTTCCAAATCCTAATTTAGGGTTGTAAGACGAAGCATTTATTCAATTAAATATTAACTGCCTCACTACATCCTTCAGGGTTCACAGATTCTAACTCTAACTTTAGCCTCGTATCCCTGGCTGTAAAGTCAGCCACTGATACCCTCTGTCTTCCCAGCACCTCAGCATGGCTCCTGTGGGCATCTAACTCCAGATATCTACAATGAAACACTATGTTTCCAGCCCCACCGAAAAGATGTTTCTTCCCAAATTCCTTTTTCATCCTGGTTCTCCCACCTACATTTTTTAAAGTTTGGAATCATTTAAACAAATCCTTTTCCCTCACTCTTCATCAAAAATGTCACCATCTTTTCCTCTTATTTAGGAAAGGACTAGAGCAGTTTTTACCTCTGTTCTGAACCTCTCAGGAACAGAATAAAATCCAAATGGTAGATATATAAATACATACATGTCTATAAACACTTTTTTACACCAGAAACTAGTCTCTGTAATAATCTCAGAAACTTGTTTTCCCAAATGATTTGTTAGAAATTTATCAGCATGTTGGAAAGATTAACCTCCAGGCAATTCTAAAACATTCAGATAAGCCTAAACATTCTTTTCCATATTTACTGATTACAAAAGAAAATAATGGATTTCAAGTAACATAGGGCTTAAACATTCAAATTTCATGAATGTATCACACAATGAGACCATGATTCAAATGAGACAATTTGTAACTAGAAAAGCAAGCCGATGTGGGTGGATTGCTTGAGTTCAGGAGTTTGAGACCAGCCTGGGCAACACAGCAAAACCCCATCTCTACAAAAAATTAAAATTAAAATTAAAAAATAGCCAGGTGTGGTCGTAGGTGCCTGTGGTCCCACCTACTTGGGAGGCTGAGATGGGAGGATGGCTTGAGCCCAGGAGGCAGAGGCTGCACTAGGCCAAGATCATGCCACTGCACTCCAGCCTGGTCAACAGAGCCAGACCCCATCTGAAAAAAAAAAAAAGGAAGAAAGAAAAGAAAGCCTTTGGAATCATATTATCTAAGGTTCAAATTCTACTTCAGCCAATTGTGCTTTTAAGCAATGACTTAACCGCCCTGAGCTGTGTTTCCTCTACTATAAAATTGGGATTTTTGACCTAGTTGTTACAAGGATAAAAGATATTATATGAACAAATCACAGAGTCGGGCTTGGTGGCTCATGCCTGTAATTCCCAGCACTTTGGGAGGCCAAAGCAGGCGGATCATGAGGTCAAAAGATTGAGGTGGCCAACATGGTGAAACCCCCTCTCTACTAAAATACAAAAATTTTAGCCAGGGGTGGTGGCGCACACCTGTAGTCCCAGCTACTTGGGAGGCTGAGGCAAGGGAATCACTCGAACCCAGGAGGTGGAGGTTGCAGTGAGCCGAGATCGCGCCACTGCACTCCAGCCTGGCAACAGAGCGAGACTCCATCTCAGAAAAAAAGAAAAGCAAAGGAAAATCACGCAAGGCATATAAGAGTTCAATAAAAACTATAGCAATTACCGTAAAACCAACATCCTAGAGCCACTGAAAACATTTACGCAGAAGAAAAAACTAGGCATTAAAATAGAATGTGTTTAAAAAGCTGATACACAAAACAAATAAGACTAAAAGGTGAACTCCATATATACCCTAAAAATAAATAAACTCTGTTGACTGGCTAAAAGAATGGTCAGAATTCTCTAGACTAGAACCTAGAGTTAGCTGGCTGCTTTCCAACCAACCAAAAGGTTTGCAGAGGTGGAGGGAGGGATGGGAGGGGTTAAAATCTTCAAAAGATTCAGCTTCAAACAGACTCAGTAGAGCATATTTCAAGTTCATAGAAGAGAAGCACGGAGAGAAGCTAAGCAGCAGCTCAAGTTCACCTAGAGTGATAGTGAACTTCAGAGATGCTTCCCACCCCAAGGAGGGATTCTTTACCGGCACAAACATAATGCTACTCTATTGTTACACATTCAGCACCTATTGTGTCAAACATTGTACTAAGAACACAGAAATAGACAAGATGCAGTCTCTGCCAACACATTAAAAGGAAAAAACCAGGTAAGAAACATCAAAGCTTATGTATTACACAGTGAGTGTATAACAAGTGTACAACAGTAAGTACAGTAACAGCCTTCCTCTCAGCCTCTCCAATCTAAAATGTCAGTGTCATCCCTCCCACCTCCAACATCAATGTCTTCCCACTGCTCTAAGACAAACAGCAAACCTCACAATATGATCTATAAGAGCCAGCATGGTCTGACTCCTGCCAACTTCTCCAGCACCATCTACTCTCTGCATCAGAGTCTCTGTAGGCTTTTTTCAGTTCTTCTAACCTGTCATTCCCTCTGGCCGCAGGACCTTTGCACACACTGTTCTCTCACATTCATCTCCTCCGTTTGTTAGAGAAGGTCACTTCATCCTTCAAAACTTGTCTCAATTTTCAATTCCAAAGGAAAACACTCCCTTACTGTAGGTAGTATAGTATGATTAAGAGCACAGGTTCCGGACTTCTAAATCCTGTTTGCCACTTATTGGCACTATAGCTTCGAGCGAGTCACATTAACACTTAGTGCCTCACTTTCATCTTCTGTAAATGGGGGACATATGACTGTTGTGAGATTGAATAAATTAGTTTAAGCAAAGCAACAGAACAGTATCCAGGACACAGAACTCAAAATCTTGGCTTGGTCAAATCCCTCTATTTTATTTTCTTACAGCACCAGGGCATCTCCCCTAATACCATTTTACACTTATTACACTCTCCCTACTAGAGTAAAATTTCTAAGAAAGCAGAAACCATATTCATTCCCCAGAAGTGGAAGACAGGAGATATTCAGTAAACATTTGTTGAAAAAAATAGCTACAAGGACAAAGCTGACACCCAAGAGACCTGTCCAGTATACAAAGCCTCATGTACCTGACTCCAAAGCCCACACTTTCTACCATACTAAGTAAGCTGCCTCCTATGTAAATACATAAGTCTTACGGCCGCAACTGAAGTGGCCAACAAAGATGAACAGAATGATAAAGATTAAAGAACACTAAACTGTATGGGAACACAAAGATCAGTGAAAGTCCGCGCGCTGAATACAAAACAAACATAGGCGCCACTCACTTCCATGTCGATAAGCTCTGGCTCTCATACTGCCCACCCAGGGCTCGGTTCCCTCCTCTTTAAAGAGTAGGATGGGGCAGGTTCGTCTCTAAAGTGTCTTCAAAGTCTAAACTTCAATGACTATAAATCAAGTTATGTGGCAATGTTTTAATAATTATTTTTTAAAAGGAAGTTTAACAAGCACACTGAACCAGCTGACAGATGGTTTTCAGGGGACCTTCGTTGTAAAGAATGTGTTCAAGTGCCTCAACAAACCTTATAAAGTAGGTTAAGTGGTCTGTGCCCCAGAATTAACGACAGACTCGATGTTGATGGGAGAAAGAGTTCAGAAGCACACACAAGCACTCCAACCTGTGAGTCAATCTGCCATCATGACAGCCTAGGTATACAGAACAGTCATGAAATGTGTTTAGAACAGTGCCAAAATAAGGCTCACCACTACATTGAAAAGGAAAGTTCACGAGATGCATTTGGTACACAGTAGACTGGGGTGTCATACAATTAAAACAGGCTTTCAAATGCAACGTAAAATCTATTAGCAGTCCTGATATGGTGTAGTACTTCAAAAGATAAGATCAACTCACAACCTTAACTCTACCTGAACAACAGTTCACAGTGTCCCTTCAAAAATGCTGGAAAGAGGTCAGAGAACACGGAAACTATAACGACACCTAAAAACACACCCTGGAAAGCTTAAGACAAAGCCACTGCCGCGGAGCCCTGGAAGCGGACCTCGGGCAGGCAGGAATATGCCTGCCCAAAGCCATCAGCCGCCTCGGAGGGCGTGCGGGCGCCCAACTGCCTCCGCCCTAGGCCTCTCTGCTCCGCAGGATCCCCGAGAGGAACAGCTGCAACGAGGGATGCCTCCTGAGCCCGCTGCCACGCGAACTGCGGGTGGGAGGAGAGAGAGGGGTGTAGCTGAGACGGAACCGGGGCGCGGGGCAGCCGGACCCACCCAGCGCTCTCCCGGCGCCACCCACCCAGAGGCGGCACGGCTGGAAGCCCGGTGAAGCCCGGACCCGCGAGGGCCCCGTCGCTCCTCACCTTCAGGGTCCGCAGTGCCGCGCTCAACATCAGCTGCTGCGGCGGCCACCGCCCACGCCGTCCGGCAGCGACCAGCGCTGCTGTCCCGACCCACAGCCCCGCCATTGTTGTCCCCGCAGACCGCCCCTCCGTTGACCTCTCACCCAGCCGGAGAGGGGCGGAGAAGGGGAGCGCCCGGCCTTTGACAAATCACGAGCCATAAATCCGATGCCCCACCCCCTAACTTGCGGGAAAGGGAGCGTGAGTGGTCGGCCAGATCCGCCGGATCCGGCAGCCTGGAGACGCGCTAGGACCCGGAAGGCTAGTGGGCTGGCGGCGCGTCAGGTCCCTAGCTGAGCTGGGGGCCACTGGCCAGAGCCGACCCCAGGAGTGAGAGAGGCAGGGACACGCGTGAGTTCCGGCGACCTGCAGCGGGCAAACCCCGTACCTTCCCAGCATCCGCTCAGCAACCCACGTGCATCCAGGCCGGTTAATGTCAGTGAGTCACCTCCGCGCCTTGGCCATCCTGGGGTCCCGAGAATCCGAAGTTCCAGACAAATGCCCAAACTACATTCCTGCCTGTTTGAAAGCGTAAATTGCAAAGCACAAATCCAGGTAAGGTTTTGAACGACTGTGATAACACATGAAAAGTTCTAGGTCTGGAAATCAGAGATCCGAGCTCAAGTCCTACCTCTGCCACTTAGTATCTGCGCGTGAAAGAAATTAGCCGCAACTAGAGTCAGTCTTTGTTGCTTGCAAGCAGAAACCCTTGTTAGTACAACAACTGGCCAGGCGCGGGTGACTCACGCCTGTAATCCCAGCACCTTGGGAGGCCGAGGCGGGAGGATAACCTGAGGTCAGGAGTTGGAGACCAGCCCGGCCAACATGCTGAAACCCCGTCTCTACTAAAAATACAAAAATTAGCCGAGTGTGGTGGCGCACTCCTGTAATCCCAGTTACTCGGGAGGAGGCTGAGACAGGAGAATTGCTTGAACCCGGGAGGTGGAGGTTGCAGTGAGCCGAATCCTGCCACTACACTCCAGCCTGGGTGACAAAGCAAACTCCGTTTCGAAAAATAAAAAATCAGTACAACTATTAAGGGCCGCGCCTTGTGCTAGAGCCTCAGATTCCCTTACTTTAGACTTTACAAGAATCTTAATGGAGTATATAATTCCATTTGGAGAAACTGAAGCTGTAGCAGGGTAAAGTCACTCAGCGAGTAAAAGGTCAAACTAGGGTTAGAACCCAAATCTGGCCGCCTTGAGGGACTGGGCTCGTGTTTTGCTGTATTATGGAAATTTTAAAATATATACAAAAGAGCAAATAGTACTATGATCACCCAGATACCCATTACACCGCGCCAACGAATCAACATTTTGTCAATCTTGTTTCATCTATTCCCCTTTATATTTTTTGCAGGAATATTTAAAAGCAAATCTAAGACATCAGACCATCTCACCTATAAAGACATCAGTATTAGGGGTTCCGCTCTTAACTACTTTGCATCTCCTGCAGAGTCGCCTTGAGAGAGTTACAAAGCTAGGAATGACCTAGAGTACGCTACAGCATGGTAAATGCCAAAAGAGAGATAAATAAAATGGGGATATCAGAAAGATGACATATAGTGGAATTTTAAAATGTAAGTATGGACTTTTGTGACAAAATGAAAAGGATTATCAATTTCACAGGACTTCTCTCTTATGTACCTCAGTCTTCATTCATTTTCTACCTGGGAAACCTGCTTTTCTTTTTTCTTTTTTTGTTTTTTGTCTTTTCCCCATGTTTTACCCTTTGGGTTAGTTTTCCTTAGGCCCTATTTGTTTTTCTTACAGGAGTTCTCTTTATGAAAGGCACTTGTAGCAGAAACTGCTTCTCATACTATCCATTCTCCATGCATTACTTTAGTAAGAGTGCTCCTGAGATCTAGCTGGGTACGTGGCCACCCAGCGAAAGGCTGCAATAGCCAGCCTCCCTTACAACAAGGTGTAGCGCCATGACTAAGGTCTGGAATGTATGGGTTGTTCCCTCCATGCCCTCTTCTTTCTTACCTAAATAAAGATCTACATTTCCCAACCCCCACTGCAGCAAGGGTGCTTACCAAGATTTGGTTACTAAGTTTTGGCCAATGGGCCATAAACACAAGTGACATAAACAACTTTTGCGTTATGCCTTTAAAGGGAAAGGCATGCCTTCCACTTGCCCTTCTCCTCTTTCCAGTTTGCCAGAATGTGGACACAACAGTGGAGGTAAAGTTGTCATCTCAGATGATAAGAAGGAAGTTAGGTGATCCAGGAGGCAAAACAATATACCAGGAGCCTTGAGGTGCCTGATTCTGTGGAGCTGCCATGTCAACCCTGGAACGCTTTGTTCCAATTTTTATGCAAGCAAGTAAAATACTGTATCTTGTTAAGTTACTGCATTGTGTTTGTTTTGCCTTTGTTACAGCAGCTACA